TATTATTATTATTATTATTATTATTATTATTATTATTATTATTATTATTATTATTATTATTATTATTATTATTATTATTATACCATTACATTTTTGAATTATTGCAGGATTGCATTGGAGCTATTGATGGGACACATATTCCAGCAATAGTGAGGGGACGCGATGTCAGCAACTATCGTAATCGACATGGAAATATATCCCAAATTGTATTAGCGGCTTGCAATTTTGATTTGGAATTCATGTATGTCCTTAGCGGATGGGAGGGTTCGGCTCATGATTCAAAAGTGTTAAGTATGCTTTATCAAGGAGGAATGGTCTTAAAGGTCCTTAAGGTAAATGCTTATCTTTTTGGTTAGAAATGCGTTTTATTTCTATGTTGCATACTAATATATATATGTGTACTATATAATTAGGTAAACATTTCTTAGTCGATTGTGGATTTGCCAACCGACGCCAATTTTTAGCTCCATTTCGAGGTGTGCGATATCATCTCCAAGATTTTGCAGGCCATGGTCGTGATCCTGAAAATGAAAATGAGTTGTTCAACCTTCGCCATGCGTCCTTAAGGAATGTGATCGAGAAGATATTTGGTATTTTTAAATCGCGATTCAGATTTTTAAGTAAGCTCCTCCATTTCTATTTAAAACACAAGTAGAGCTAGTGTTGGCATGTGTAGCATTACACAACTTTCTTCGTAAGGAGTGTCGTTCCGATGAATTTCCTATTGAGCCAACTGATGAATCTTCATCATCTTCATCCTCATCAATACCAGTTGATGAAGAGGACAATTTTGAGCAAATTTATCAAACCCAAGACCAACAAAGAGAGGATGCTAGTACATGGAGAGCTAGCATAGCTTCAGCTATGTGGAGAGATGCTATCTAGGTCATATGAGGAGATGAAGCTCCAACAAATATTTATTACGTCTTGAATAACTTTTGTTTTCCTTAAGCCATGTCTAGTTGCTACATGACGTTATTGTTATTACTTTTATCATTTGGTTATTTATTTATGCAGCATAATTAATCCATGTTATTATATAATTTTTATTTCATATGAAATCCTAGAGCAAATCTGTTGATTCTTTGGAGAATACAAAAATATCCCAAGTGAATCATAAGAGAATCATGTAATTACAATCTATTAAAATCATAAGTAAAATCTTGTAATTACAAATCATGTTGAAATCCATTACATTAAAATCATGTGATTACAATCTATTAAAATCCTAATTGAATACACCCCCTAAATGTTTTGTGGTATCCAAAAAGTTAATGATTTTGAAAACTTTATTAAATTAATGACTTTTCAATACTTTAAAGGCTAATTTTTACTACCAAAAGTATTGTTGATTTACCAATCAACTCTTAAAAAATCATTTAGTTAAAAAAAGTCTTAAAAATTACCCCTTTAGAGTTTAAGGTATGACTTATTTTAAATTTTAATATAAGTTGGTGTGTATGCCCTCGAAATTCGATGTAAAAAACTATTTTTGGATAGACAAACGCAGACAAATACAAAATAAACTACGCATCATTTACTTAATATAAGTTTTTGGCATAATTTTGTTCTTGTTTTTTAGTTTTGGAAACACACACATAAGATTTAATTGCTCTAGTGCCTCTTGAAAGTGTAGTCATGTCTCACATTGCCCCGAGAGTCAAAATGACCCCCATGCCCTATTGATTATTCTACATCAGCCCCTATATCATAACAATGCGTTTGGATGAGGAAAATAAACTTAGAATTTTGACAAAAGTTAGAATTTCTAAATTGACATGTACAAATTCCTATGTTTAGATAAATTTAAAAAAAACATAGAAATTTAGAAATTCTAGGTGGGAAAAAACATGGAATTTGGAGATCATAAATCCAAACTTTAAATTCTATCTAAAAGTTATCATTTCTAAAATCT